GTGGAACACGGTCCCAGATAGTTTCCCCTCTACCACTAGGAGATCATTCAAGGCTATAAAGAGATTGCAATCTAATCTCCAAGATGAATATAAAATAAGCACACAGATAATTATAATACAAGGCATTATATGAGAAATAGAAAGTTTGAGAGTGGATGGGGGGGGGGAAATCACACCTTTAGGCTGGGGGGAGGGAATCAAGAATGTGCAACAGGCCTCAACCTTTTTGGTCCCAGGACCCTTTTACTGTCTTAAAAATTACTGCAAACCCCAAAGAGCTTGTTTTTTTTTTTTTTTGCGTTACGCGGGCCTCTCAGTGCTGTGGCCTCTCCCGCTGCGGAGCACAGGCTCCGGACGCGCAGGCTCAGCAGCCATGGCTCCCGGGCCCAGCCACTCTGCGGCATGTGGGATCCTCCCAGACCGGGGCACGAACCCGTGTCCCCTGCATCGGCAGGTGGACTCCCAACCACTGCGCCACCAGGGAAGCCCCTGAGCTTGTTTTTTTGTGATTATATCTATTGATCTTTATATTAGAAATTAAAACTGAAAACATGAAAAACTATTTAATTAACTTAAATCCACTGCAAATCACTTGTCCGAATCACTACCAGTCTCATCAGTAAAGTCTCATGCTCAGATTGGTAGATACGAGTTTTCCAAAATTCTAATTTTTGCTTGAAGACTTACATTTTATCATTGGCAACAAATACTAACCAGTAATTTTCCTGGAGGTGACTCAGTTTGTTAATTTTTGAGAAAATGTATGCTAAATAAGTCTGAATACCCATAGTTTGTCAGTTGTTCTTTCAAGCAAAAGTGGATTCCATGAAAAAAGTGGTTTGTTCAGCTCACAGATTGCACAAGTGCTTTTTGTGTACTCCCCATTTAGTCACACAGAATATTTAAAAGATATGCTTTATTAATCTTACTGCCTTTATGAAGGACATTCTTAAGTGAAACTGACTTTTTCTATTGCAAGTGCATGGTGCCACTGCTTTGAATTGTTAAGGTGCCAGCAGTTTTACCTATTATTTGCACCACGAGTATAAATGTCAACAAAGTGAAAACGTGTAAAAGCCGTCTTCGTGTTATGAAAATAGGTTTGACCATGTGCGCCCCCTGAAAGACTCCTGGGGACTCCTCTGAGAGTGGACAACACTCTGAGAACCACTAGTGTACAAGACACAGGCTTTGAAAAAATGAGTCAGATTTTGATAGAATAAGATGAGGGAGGGCAAGAACATTAAGACAGTAAGATGTGAAGTATATCTAAGGAACAGTGGGTGGGCTGTAGGTCTAGTTGGAAGAGGAGGGAAGAAGAGGCAGAAGGAGCCAAAAAAGATACTGTGAAAAGCCTGGAAGGCCTTCATGAAGATCAACTAGGTTTAAACCAGACAGGAAGAGGCTAGGGTGAGCAGGTGTTTTGTTTTTTGTTTTTGAAAGTTATTTCAACTTATATAAAAATAAAGCTAGACATGTTTACATTTACTAGTTATAAAATAAAAGTGACAGCAGAGCTACCTTTCTCATATGGAATATTTAGGGAATGAATAAACAAACATGTGGTGAAATGCTTTCCTATAAGAAACATGCTGCACCAATTAATTTAGATAGTATTACTTTTAGAAAGAAGAATGAGAGAATTTATTAAGCACTTATTCTGAACTAAAAACTATACTGTTATATTATTTTCACATGTTATATGATTTAATCCTTACAACAAGCTTACAGGAGAGGTATCACCACTCATATAGATGAGGCAAAGGAAGCCCCAAAAGTTTAGTAACTTTCCACAGGACATGACTTTCAACTCTGATTTTGTAACACTTCACATTGTCACCCATTATCTCTGGGGCAAGTCTGAAAACAAATTTAATTATCAACCATATGTATATCTATATATTCCATGCAATATTTTTAAATAGGGCACATTTTGGTGTCACAAACCCAAATAAATGTGATACAATGTAAAATCTCTAAAGAGATTGTATATTTTGAATTTTTTCTTTCCTTCCAGAATTACCTTAAACAATAAGTAAAGCTGATTACTAGCTGGTATCAGCTGATAGAGGTTTTGTTAAAACCTAACAACTGAAAAAAAATCAACATTTGAGTTATTGTTGAGCTTCATCACAATACTTACTGGATTCAAGACCTTTTTCCCACCACATTTAAAAATATCAGATGAGTAAGAAAAGGAGGGAAAACAATTAAAAACCATAGTTTGATGCCATCTTCTTTGGCCCAAGAAAAGAAGAGTGTTAAGTGTACTGACATCATCGTACAGGTCTGGATGCACACCACCATATCAACATGGCTCCTTCCTGCACTTGGACCTGTTCTTTTAGCTACTACACTCTCTTACACGTGCATGTACACACATACACGCTTACACACACACTAAAACTTATGGCATGCTTCTCTTCCCCAACGCAAATAAATAAATTCTTTGTTCAACTGGATGGTTGGAAACATTCTGTTGACATTTTAAAGGAAATTATCAAAATTATATCAAATTCATCCCCAAATGAATATTTTATTATAAAACAAAAAAATACACCTAAATACAGAGTAAAGCTACTTATTATTTATTCATCTCTAGGCAAGATAAGTGTCCGAGAGTACAATGCAGTTCAAATAAAGTAGCTACCTGGCTTGATAAAAAATAGATACTCATTAAAGGTAGAAAATTATTATGAATATTGAAAATAAATATGCAAAACATCTTGAAAGTTTTACACTTTGCCCTTAAAAATCATAGTTGATTAGAAACTATACCGTTCTTCTAGATTGATACTAAAATAGCTGCATTTTGGCTTAAATTACAACTGGTAATAATCTATCCATTTGTATATAAACATAATATTCTTTCTACATTTTCGATTAAAAATTATACAATATTCAAAAGCTTATAAAGTAAATTGCCAACAAAAATGTGAACTCAGTTATACATTTCTGACATTAGGGAACTAATTATTATTATAATTATTATGTTATGGAATGCCAAACATGGGCAACATATCTAAGTTATAGAATAGTTATGATGAAGTAATAAGAGGAAAAAAATTTCAAATCCATAATTTAGTAAATTTGCTCATTTAGATAAAAAAAAAATCACCATTATGATTAAATGTGCCAAATTCCATGAGGTTCTGAATGTGTGGATCTTGTTGCTCTGCTATTTTTTGAAATAGGCGACTTCAATCCAAATCCCCGTTTCCTTTTTTTTTCTTTAAAAGGATCAATTTAAAAAAAAATGTATGTATGTGTGTATTTATTTGACTGCATTGGGTCTTCGTTGCTGCACGTGGGCTTTTTCTAGTTGTGGCAAGCAGTGGCTACTCTTCACTGAGGTGTGCAGGCTTCTCATTGCGGTGGCTTCTCTTGTTGCAGAGCACGGGTTCTAGGCATGCGGGCTTCAGTAGTTGTGGCTCGCGGGCTCTAGAACGCAGGCTCAGTAGTTGTGGGACACAGGCTTAGTTGCTCCGTGGCATGTGGGATCTTCCCGGACCAGGGCTCAAACCCATGTCCCCTGCATTGGCAGGCGGATTCTTAACCACTGCGCCAACAGGGAAGTCCCCCACTATGTTTCCGATACAATTACACTGAGATAAAAGTTTAGGGGGTAAAAAATTTTTATTGAAAGATAAGATTGGTAAACATATTCTTAATACAAAAATGTGAGCATCTGCCACAATGAGATTTATCCTGTTGGAATACTAGACTTACTGGAGCAAGTGATACACATATGCAAATGTGTCACGGTTAGGAGAAGGAGTTTAATGACCAGATCTTTCTTTGCCTGAGTAAAATGGCTGGAACAGATTCAGTATAAGACTACGCAGATCATAACTTTGCTTCAGTTCCTCCCTTTCAGCAAGCCTGTGTCATGCATTTGAACAATGTATTAGACACAGGCGGTAAAGAGCTTCTGGCAAATTGGAATCTCTTGATGGGGCTGCGAGCTGGTAATTCTGAGGTAACCGATCTTCTGAATGTGCTGCTACTGTAGGGCTCCTCAAGTCTTAGTCATATTAAGAAGGAGCCCAACAAACTACCTGTTGGTTCAGCTATGCTTTCTTTTTTCATGTACTCACCAATAAACAGTATGTCAACCTGATCCTACCAGAAAAATCAACAGGCTGCCTGAGAAAATATTTTACTTGCTGTTCTCTTTACTTAATGGAGTTTTAGGGCATTAAAGGCAAGAAGGTACTTGGAAAATCCAAAAATGACCTGTCTGTATTAGGATTTTTCCTTGTACTTTTAGGTGCATCAAAAAATCCCACTTTTATATAGAAATGAATACTTGCTAAAAGAGCAAACTAAATAACTTCTGATATCTAAATGAACAAAAGGAGGAGAAATAAGCTAAAACTGGCAATATATACTTACTACTGTGCATACTACTGCTTTGAATGGGTGAAGTTAGATCAGATACAGGCAGTGTTTTCACCTACAATATACCTATACTCCCGAAAACCCTTCAATTAGCCACTGATCACATGGTTTCTGACATGTCTAAATTATGATCTTTGCTAACAACAGATTTGACTGGAAGAGGTGATGTGTACACCCCTCAATGACCTCTCTGCAGGGCCAGCTTTATCCCCTTTAACTGCTATAACGAGGAATGTTTATGCTAAGTATATTAGCAGTCAGTAGTACTGCAGTTGCTACTGAATGGCTATATATTTGTATGAAACGCCACAACGAAATTTCTATTTAACAGGGGACAGGCTAGCAAAGAAGTATTTGGATAACTTGTTACCTTACTTACTAAGTGAAGTGTCCATATATCAAAAAGGAATAATTCCAAAATGTTAAAGCACATTATCTTCCCAAGTCCACTTGGTCTTTGAAAGTTTGTACAGCCATTAAATGAAATTTCCCGTCTTTTCCAAAGGGCATGATACTATGTACCTTTACCTAAATATTGTGACAATTAATAGAGACTGTTCTCATGGATGCATTTGTCTGAATGTGGAAAGTCTGCATTCTTAGTGTTTACCGCAAACCCAGCGAAGGTGATGATCCGTCTGAAGGTCAGTCAGTTCTTCAATAGTTCTCCAGCTGCACTGGCAGGCGTATGCCCGTTTTCCTTTCTTCTTTACCAACTTTGTTTTTAATTTGTGGAATTCTGGCATATTGTTCCTATTAGTAAAATAAGAAGGTTTTAGCATAGTAGCTTTGTTCAGTGCTTAATGACTTAAAAAAAAAAAAGGGAATTCTAACTGTTTTCTTTTCCTATCTTCACAACATCCAAACGCTAAACTACCTGGTGCTCTCACATGAAAAACAGAAGATACACTTTGGTGTTCTCTTTCTGAGGATTTCAATGTTTTTAAATGGCAATCCTCTAGGTCTGTTTATTAAGGCTTTTGTAGAACACAGTGACCTAAAGAGAATTATTGATCTGTCTTATCAGGGACTACATGATATAAGAATAGAGTGGAAAAGATGGTGGTTCATCTCCTACCTCAAATACTCACCTGTGCCATATTTGAAAAGCCAGCAGTGTGGAGGGGCTTCCCTGGTGGCGCGGTGGTTGAGAGTCTGCCTGCCGATAAGGGGACACGGGTTTGTGCTCCGGTCCGGGAAGATCCCACATGCCGTGGAGCGGCTGGGCCCGTGAGCCATGGCCACTAAGCCTGTGCGTCCGGAGCCTGTGCTCCGCAACGGGAGAGGCCACAACAGTGAGAGGCCCGTGTACCGCAAAAAAAAAAAAAAAAAAAAAGCCTGCAGTGTGGCAAATGGAGGGCATATAAGAGGCATAAAGATAACAGGCTTCTGATTAACTATAGAAATTTTTCATTAATAGAGAAAAAGTGCTTGTTATTTCTATGTGTTGAATTCATATTATATCTCATTTGTTTCAATGATCTGCTTATTTACGTATACTACCAGAAACAAAACAAATGCCTATCCTGAAATAAATGTCAGTAATTTTAACATAATTAAACCTATGCGCAGAACTTATGAAAAATGATAACTATCTGACTTGATGCTATTATAAAAAAGACTGCAGAAGTTAAACTTAATTAATAGAAAATCAATTATGATTTTCATAATCCATGTACTGAATTTATGTAAATATTCCATGACAGAAGAAAATGAAAAAATTCAAAGTGAAATGATAAAAAAATACATAGTGAAATGATGAAATACAGTATAAGTAATTTTAAAAAAAGAAATACACTGTTAACTGTTACTTGTTGATGTCACTGCAACAGAAAGCAGGAAACAAAGTGCCCTCTGGTGGCCAATGGGCACCACATTCAGTACTGCACAAAATTCAGGCACAATTGAGGTTAGACCCTAACAAAACCTAAGAGATTTTCCAGGCCAACTGTCTGACTTCAGGAAACTGAGACTTTGACCAGCTGAACAACTTAGCTAAGGTTACAGTGAGATAGGGGAAGAACTGAATAAGTTTTACTGCAAAGAAAAAAGCCAAACAAAACTAAATGTGTTTAATGAGAACGAAATGGCTAAATGAAGGACTGTCCTTTATTCAATCTGCAATATATTTTGACAAACTTAACATGTGACACTTGATTGAATACTTAGAGATTTCAGGAATAGGAATCATGAAAGCCAGGGAACTATCAATAATTAATACATTTCAAGTAGTGCATATTTTAAAAGCTGAGAAAGAAAATTTCATTATTTCCCATAAAGCAAACACAGTTTAATAGAAAAATAAGAGCATTTTATTTAGCTATTACGGCAGGATGGTCAAGTATAGCTTATACTTCTTTTAGAAAGTTCTAGAACTTGTCAAAGCTAGGATACACTTATTGCCCTCAAGTGTTTCATCTCCCCTCTACTTTCAAGCAGATCACACCTTCATTCACAAAATCAGGCAGTGAGATGTGAAAAGGCCTCCATTTCCTAGCTGTCCCCTTGAACACATCAGTATATGACCTCTTTCCACCCAGGCACAGAGGCGGCCTCTTCCTATCCAAGGCCCACTTTCCATCAGCACTCTAGACCCCAAAGCCTCTAGGACCTTGTTACTCACATAACCTTCCCTTCTCTTGTCTTCCCCACGCCCCCACCCCACAATATAAACATCAAAGCATCTCCTTTTTTTAAAAAAAATATTTATTTATTTATTTAGTTTTGGTTGTGTCAGGTCTTAGCTGCAGCACATGGGGTCTTTCGTTGTGGCATGCAGGCTCTTCGTTGTGGTGCATGGGCTTCTCTCTGGTTGTGGCACATGGGCCCCAGAGCGTGTGAGCTCTGTAGTTGCGGTATGCGGGCTCTCTAGTTGCAGCACATGGGCTTAGTTGCCCTGCGGCATTTGGGATCTCAGTTCTCTGACCAGAGATCAAACCAGCGTTCCCTGAATTGCAAGACTGATTCTTAACCACTGGACCAGCGGTTAAGGGAACCACTGGACCAGGGAAGTCCCAGCATCTCCTATCTTAACTAAATGATCCCTTAACTCTGCATTCACTGACAGGCTTCCAAGTCACCTTTCTGGGTAATATCATCCAGTTTCATGGTTTCATCTACCACTTTACAGTCTACATTTCTTATCTGAGCTTCAGAGCCCCAAAGAGTACGGCTCTTGACCTGGGATTTTGGGACCACACTAGGCTTTATTTGGGTTGGGTACTATGAAATCTCTCAAATTGTAATTTTTCTATGTATCTGCATATTTGAATTTTTCTGTGCGTATGTTGAGAGGATTCAGATTTTTCAGAACAGTTCTTGATGTGAAAAGTTTAAAAACTCTTACATTAACACTAGAGGAGACTCCTAGAGATTTACATGAGAATGGATGCCAAAGAGGTGTGTTTTCTTTATGCTACTGAAGAGCGCTGCAATAATTCTGATGACTTGTATCTGAAAATATAGTCTTTGCTTAGGCACAGGTTTGGGGGGCCAAAAATGCATAATATATGTACTTTACTAATTTTTGGCCCTTAATTTTTCTTTGAAAATGTGAATGTATAGTTCAAATACGTTTTTATAACTTAAAAACATTAGGTATTCACTGAGTATTTAAGGATGTACAAATTACAAAAATATGAGTAAGACACTATCCCAACCACAAGGAGGGAGGCAGACATACACCAACCTAGGATATTTTCAGTCTTTTATTACAGTAAGTGCTGTGGACACACGGGAGAGGATGAGTTTACTTCCAAGCTGAGAGAGGGCTAAGGGAATCATAGAAGATGAGCAATGAACCATACCCTGAGGGACAGGTAGGGTTTAGTTTTTTTTTGCAGTACGTGGTCTCTCACTGTTGTGGCCTCTCCCATTGCGGAGCACAGGCTCTGGACACGCAGGCCCAGCGGCCATGGCTCACGGGCCCAGCCGCTCCGCGGCATGTGGGATCTTCCCGGACCAGGGCACGAACCCATGTCCCCTGCATCAGCAGGTGGACTCTCAACCACTGTGCCACCAGGGAAGCCCTGGGAGCACTGTTTTGATGTAGCTAAAATCTTGCAAAGGTGAAAAGTATACCATGGAAAGACAAACAAAGCTGGGTGATAGATAGGTGGGGACTGGATCACGGAAGGTCTTGAATGCCATGCTAAGGAATTTGGACATTATTCTGTAAGCAGAAGGGTTTTAGGCAAGAGGATGGCATACTCAGAGTTATGCTTTAATTCTCAGCAAGTGAAGGGTGGTCTGGAAGAAGAGACTATACACAGGAAAATCAGTGAGGAGGCTACCTCTGAACTCCTGTCCAGAAGTAACATGTCCTTAACTAGGCTGACAGCAGACAGATGGAAAGGAGATGATGTGAGAAATATCAAAGAGGTGGAGGCCACACAATCTGGCCAAGGCCACCAAGAGGCGTTACTGCACAGTAAGAAATATAAAGTTGTAATATTAAGTACATTTTTGACAGAGTGAAGTTCTTTAGAAACATACCTGAAAAACAGGTAATCACATGATTTGTCCCACCCATAGTCATCGTAGCTTACTACCCAGAAATCACAGGCTATACAACGCAGATGGTCACACGCTCTGTTCAGAGAAAAAGAACTGTACATTAGAAATTACTGTTAGGCTTAAATATGAAAATATGCTGATTTATTCATAGACTATACCACATATTACAGATTACTGAGTAAACAACAGAAAAGTAAAGATGAATCTGAGTATAAATTTTTATACTATTGGTCTGATTACCTATTTGAACTTTCGGGTTAAATTTCTGCACAAACCTACCTATTTTACTAAGATCTTGCATACTGATACATATATGCACACATGTATATTTACATATATAAAAGAAAAAAAAATGGATGTGTAGATCTTTTAGTTCAATGGTTTTCAAATTTGTCTGAGGGAGATCTTCACTTAAGCTACCTTCTTTACGTGTTTCCTTTCCTAATGAAAATTTCAGGATGCCTCTATCACAGAATTTGCCACATTGTATTGAAATGCTGGGACAATATCTTATCTGTGCTGGGACAATATCTTATTTGTTTCTGTTTCCCCACTACTTGGCATTAATGTATTCATTCACTCACTTAAAAAATATTTACTGAAAGCCTACTATGTGCTGGTGAGATTCTGTCCTCAAACAGCTTAGAATCTAATTCGAGAAGAAATACTCATAAATTATGTAGCACGTTAGAAGGTAAAAAGTGCTTTAAATGAAATAAAAAGTAGAGTCGATAAAATTGGAAGTACTGGGAGGAAGTGTGTTATAATTTTAAATACAAGAGTCTGCACAGGCTTCACTGGTAAGGTATATCTAAGCAGTTTCTTTAAGTGGAGTGGTAGTTGGTAAAGGAAGTGGGATTAAGAGAAGGTTATATTTAAGAAGGAAAAAGAGCAGGTTTGTATACTGATGGCAAAGATGCAGTGAAGGGAAAAATGCCGCTGATGAGAGAGGGTAGAACTGCTAGAACGATACTCAGCACATAACAGGTACTCAGTGACAACCTGAGGAACCGAAATGCCAAGCAAATCTCAAAATTCATATAGTACATAGTAACTTCAGGAGTAAAATGATAATATATAGTAAGAATTATGAATTGCTGCTGCAAACCATTTGATTTGTATAATAATTGTGATTTAAAGAAAACTCCATTGTTTGAAGTATTTTAAAACTAGGATCAATATAGATACATTTGATCATCTAAAAATTAAAAGGAAATAACAAGAGTTTTTAAGATACCAGAAACAAAGTGAAAAGACCAATCATAGAGTGAAAGAAAACATTTTCAACACACAGTGAAATACTTATACTGATAAAGAGTGCTTACAAATGACAACACAGAAAAAAAACCTAAAAATATAATTCTATGTCACTAATATAGGTAGCACAGATTCGTAGTTAAAGAGTGTAGATAAGATTGCCTACGTTCAAATGCTGATTCCCTAGCTGTGTAACTATACACAAGTAACTTAACTTCTCTGTGACTCAGTTTCCCTATCTGTAAAATGGGGATAATAATGCACACCTCATAGAAGAATTATGAGGAGCTAACCAAGTTAATATTGATAAGGTGCTCATGACAGTGCCTGGCATACAGCATTTATTAAAAAGTTAAAATACTACATAAAGAATTAAAATTTCAAGCAACCATGAAATATATACTTAAACCAATTAAGTTAGCAAAAATTAGCACTCTCAGACATTTCTGGTGGGTATGTGAACTGCTATAACCTTTTGGGAAAAATCTTGGCATAATTTTACGAATAAAATTATACCTAGCTGCTGCACTAGCAATCCCATTTTGGGGAATATATTACATATAAATAAAAGCACCAGAGTATAGGCGTGTATCTCAAGAATAATTTCTGCTGCAGTGCTGTTGAAGTGGCAAAAATCAGGATACCACCTGGATAGCTATCAAAGAGGGAAAAGACTGAATAACATTTATACTATGGAATATTAGGCAGTTGATAAAAGAGTTAATTAGATTTAACTACTGACATAGAGGTGCACAAGGCAAGGTACACAATAACATATATAACATGATCCTGTTTTTGTAAAAACTACCCCGCCAATTTTCCTGTATAGGTGTTTATAATAAGTTTGTAAGAACATGGAGAAAAATGTGGAAGGTAATATACCATGCAGCTATCACTGGTTGCCTCAGGAGGGGTGGGAATGGAGAGGAAGGAAGCAGAGCACTATCTTTCTCCTTATACATTTTGACTTTTTATTTTTTTCAAAAAGCATATAATACTTCTGCAATTAAAAAATAAAATAAAATCCATCACTATATATTTTTTCACTTATTTCCCTCTAAAATTCAGATAACTTAACTTCAAAATTGCAAATATATTTTGGCCTGAAAGTTTCTTTGAGAACAAATGCCTTGTATCTCTAAAAACATTAATCACAACAATAATTAAACACTTAAAATCTTAAGTTTCATAAACAATTCCGTATTTCCTTTTAAACTGTTAGCAATTTATGAAGTTGAATTTGTACATATGGAAATTCAACACAATTACATTTGTACACATTTGAACTTGGATTTTGAATGTACAAGTCAGGAAATGAAAAATGATGGCTCCCAAAGCTGCTATAACTTGCTTTCTTATGCATATGTATTTATTACATGATTGCACAGAGTGTTAACTTTAATGCCTTAATACATATGTGCAATTTGGCTGAATTACTGCTGTTGTGGGAACTATAATTTAGAATTTCCTGACATTTTGTATGTGTAAAATTTCAACCATAAGGTTAAATACAGCTTTTTAATTTAAAACTTAGTAGTTTATTCAAATCTATTCACACTACCACATTTTCCTACAAACACTGTCCTTTGAGAAAAATAAAACTAACTTGCAGCTAAGAAATCATTCTGCTGCTACAATTCACTCTATTAGACCATTATTATACCAGTCTATGGAATAATCCAGGCTTGCAAGTAGTTTAAAAAATAACGAGGAGAGTAAAATTCAATTTGGCTTGAAAATAACACCTGGGTTTTATCTATATCTTAATAATGCCACCACGCTTTGCTACTGCTCTTCCCCTTTACCCCAAGTGGGTAAAAGATTCAAATCTTTACACTCTAAAATCATTCGAGATTACTCTCAAATCAGAGCTTTATCCAAAAATCAAACAAACATAACACATGAAAAATAGGCAGAACAGACTCGATTTCCTTTATGCCCTAGGCATGTAAATCAGTGCCTATTTTCAGCGCTTAAATGTATTTTTCTTTTATAACTATATATAAAAGAATATCTAACATAAAGTCATGGTTCCAATGAAAGATAAATTGTCAGGTCTTTCCTCTAAAATGTGAGTAAATACAAACATGGAAGTGTCATCAACAGCTTTGTCCTTTTATCAGGCTAGTAAGTAAAATCTTTACTATTTTAAAGATGCTAGTGGTGGTACTATTTTAAAGATGTTAGCCCAATATAGACTTCTGCACAGACCCTGGTTCTCAGTCAAATCCTGTCAGATCTACACAGTGGACTGCGGAGTCTTGCTGTTTGGGCAGCTGGAAAACAACAGCTGCAATAGCAAAAGTGGCTTCCCTCTTACATACATTATACAAGCGTCTGCAAATTGGTATACTAGAAGGCATAATGGACTAGGCATCAAGTTACACCTTTGAGTCTTGCCTTGGGCAAGGCACAGGGCTTGGGAGTCATTCTTGACAACTTTCTCTCTTGCGTCAAACAGCCATTTAATCACTGAATTCTGTCAATTCTATGTTCTAAATATCTCAAGTGTGACCCTTTTCCCCTACAGCCACTGCCACCACTTAGGTCACAGCTGCCACCCCTGTCTCTTTCCTGGACCACCAGTACCTACTGCCTGTTGACTGGTCTCCCTGTGTTCTCTCCTGTCTTGTCCCTCCAACTTCCAATCCATTTTCCATTCTGGAACCAAAATTTCTTTCTTTAGAAACACAAATATTATTATGTCACCCCTATCTGCTTAAAAAAAAACCCCAAACAACCCAATGGCTTCCACTGCTATAGGATGTATTTTTCTAAAATCCTCCAGGGGACCCCAAACCAAACGTCCCCTGACTACCTCTCCAGCCCCACCAGGAGCCATTCTTTCCCCCACTCACTACACTCCAGCTCACCTGGCTGCTCTCTGTTCCTCCCACACCCCTGGCTCCTTCCAGCTCAGGGATCGTCTAACGTGGTGGGTCCTCTGGCTCCAACGCTCCCCTGTCTTTGCTTAATTCCTACTTATTTATCATATCATAGTCTGATTAAATGTTATTTGCTTAGGAAAGCATTACCTACCACTTCATATTAGTTAGGATGCCAATTATCTATGCTTATAGTATTCTCTACTTACCCTTCACATTACATATTATGTGGAAATTAAATAGTTATTTGTGGAATTAAAGTCTCTTTCCTCATCTAGACTGAAAGCTCATTGAGGGCAGGGAAGTGTCAATTTATCTGTTCACCACAATGTGTTCACTCAAAACCAAGGACTTAGCAAGGACATGATGAATTAATATGTGTTTAATGAATTTAACACCAGTGCCTCACTTTCCTCATTTATAAAATGGGGTTAAAAATTCTTGCTCTATCTGCATCTTGGTTTTTCCCTGTGAAGCAGGTGAACCAATACACATATACTTACAAAAACGTGCTCTGGACAGTATACAGTACCTCACACATATAATATTTTACATGCACATGAATATGTATGTGCTTATCTTTCTGCGTGTGCTGATCTACGTCATGAAGAAGGTGGTCAGTGATTAGTATCTTTGTGATGGGTAACGAAGAAAAGATCTGTGAATATAAACATTTACCTGTGCATATATATGCAAATTGTATGTGTTTTTCCTTCTTGTCACTGTGCAAAAGGTAGGAATGGGGTTGAAAGACTGTGGCATTCTCATGGATCAATGTTATATAATAGACATACACTGAAATTCCATCTGGAACGAGATTCTTCTCTGCTAGAACTAAATCAAAGTACATGTAAAAATATACTACATGAAAGAGAATCTTAATAAAATATTTGCTCTTGGAAGTAAACCAGAACACATATATTTCCTGAGATCAAATGGAAAAGTGGGAGAATATAGGATTCTTGCAGCTGAGGTGTAGCACAATGAGAAGGCAGCACAAACAGAAGAGAAAGACCCACAAACAACTCCAAACAACTGTACCTATAGTAGCTAGCTGACCTGCAACATGGGCGCAATTTTAATGTATTATTTCATTTAATCCTTACAATAACTCAGTTTCCTCACCCATAAAAACTAAAGTATTTATGGGTGAGGAAACTGAGGTTTTGTAAGATTATATCCCTTCTCAAGGCGTCACAGCTTGTAAGAGGCACAGTGAATATCTGAACTTAGGTATTCTGTCATCAGAGCCCTTTTTCTTCATGCCCTGGGTATAATCATTTGTTTCTTTATCAGTTTCTCTACTGGCCAGTGTTTTATCTTTTTTGGTATCTAGTACCTAGGACACAGAGGGCATTCAATGAATATTTAAAAAAAGAAAAGGAAGTTCAAACAGAATGACCAAATGAGTCTACAGTAAGTGAATTAAGCAGGTAACACAGTGGGGACATGCATTAGAAAGGAGTGTCATTCTAGACAGGGAATAAGTGTAAAAATAGTCAGAGGCAGAAAAATGTAAGCGGAAGGTAGAAGGATAACATGTGTTCTAGTGGAAGTAGAGTATCTAGCCCAGGCTTTAACTGGAGGTGGAAGAACTAAAAAGAAAAGAGGAAGAACAACAATTTGGTAAAGCAAACAATGAGTTTAGAGTTAATATGAGACAGATGGCAGCTCTCATTTTCCTTCTGAACAGGGGAGAGGTGCTCAAAATGTTACGTTAGGTGTATTTTCTTTAACGCTCTATGTGGGTGAGATTACAGAAGATGGAAGTGGATGGTAACTAGGAAACGTTTGCCGTACAGCTCAAGGATGACCTGGGGGAAGCCTGGATTCGAGGCAGAGTGGTCTGGCAATGACTGAGACAAATCCAACTGGGGAGACACAGTAAGTCAGGATTGATAAGCAGCCAGACCGTATTCTTCTCTAAGGGCAGTGTGTGTCTCTAATCCTTTGAATAGACAGTCCTCAACGCACGACGATTCAGGTGCTATCAACTCTTTATTTACAGCCCTCACAGCAGGCATCACCCCTGTGGGCTGCTATAGCCTGTCTGCTGCCTGGTGTTCCTGGTCCAGGCTTCCCCAGGTTCCCTCTGGTCCTATAGCCCTTTTTTTCCAGGCCTCCTAGGATCTAGGCCAGCTCTACCACAACCCTCCAACAATGTCCTTTTGGATCCCACTTGCATTATTCAATATAATGGTTATCTCTCCTGAAACGTGATCAGAATGCAATCATATAGCTCAGTCTTTTACTTCTTTTATCAGAAAATGAAAAAGTGCTTTAGAAATAACTAGACAAAATATAATAATCTAGTTAAGTAGGCCTCTATAAAAATAGAACCAAACTTAACAGGACAGTAAAATGACTTGCTGAACTACTTACAACAGACAAGACATGGAAACAACCTAAATGTCCATCGACAGATGAATGGATAAAGAAGATGTGGTACATATATACAATGGAATACTACTCAGCCATAATAAAGAATGAAATAATGTCATTTTCAGCAACATGGATGGGCCTAGAGATTATACACCAAGTGAAGTAAGTCAGAAAGACAAAAACAAATACCATATGATATCACTTATATGTGGAATCTAAAATACAACACAAATGAACTTATCTACGAAACAGAAATAGACTCACAGACATAGAGAACAGACTTGTGGTTGCCAAGGGGGAGGTGGGTGGGGGAGGGATGACTTGGGAGTTTGGGATTAGCAGACACAAACTATCATATATAGAATGGATAAACAATAAGGTCCTACTGTATAGCATACAGAACTATATTCAATATCCTGTGATAAACCATAATAGAAAAGAATATGAAAAAGAATGTATATATATATATATGTATAACTGAATCACTTTGCTGTACAGTAGAAACTAACACAACATTGTAAATCAACTATACTTCAATAAAAAAAAAAATCTGCTGAAAATCGGTCTGTTTCCCCACTTTACGACAAAGACAATGGAATAGGCTAGGAGTCTGAGGCTGATAGGGGCTGGAGGTAGGTAGCATCATGACCATAAGACTGCCCTGAAAGAGGTACTGAGTGAGATACTGGGTGAAAGGAGGGTTGGGGAAGAGACAACAAAAGGAGGCTTTCTCCTTTTGAAATATGTAAAATCAAGAGACTATGCTTAAGAACTCCTTGGGTACTACAGACCCACAGCTTCTCATGCTGGCTGGCCAAGGCAGTGTGGGTGACACATCATATAGTTCACCTGTCCTACTCACTGGTTTTCACTGCCTGGAAGGAAAAATGGCAAGATAGAAGCTCAACTCCTGGTGTCTTGTGGAAACCAAGCTGGGATGGAAGGCACTTCAAGTGGATCTTAAAGAAGGGTGTCAACACAATGAACAACACATACCCAATACCATAGGTTTTAACAGCTATCACGCAAGAATAATAAACATTTCAGTAAAGTGTTCTTAGACTGGCTAACAAAATATACCTTTTATTATGAAACAGACTCAGGCCAAGATGATAAGAACTATGTTTTAACAGGGTATCAATTTGGAAAAAACGAATGAAGAAAGTATAACATATTTCTGACATCTTACCTCTGTGAAGTGTTTGTCCCAATCCCACATGGAACAGCGCTTCCACCAACGTAAACTGGGCTGCAGCTGGACATGTTCAACAGATGGGAGAAAAATAAAATTAAAACATAAAAGAAACATGAGAAGTTAATTTGGCCTCATTGACTCTATATTCTTGTAATCAAATTGTATATTTTCCTGAGCCAGCCAACTATTTCAAGGAAGAGGTATTTATTTCAGGGTCAGTGTGTTATTGGATAAAACCTGTATATTCAGGAACACTCAAGGAGTTAAAATGAGTCACAGAAAAATGTGTTTGCCAAATAATGTAAGGGACAAAGTAAATACTGAAGAATATAACAGAACATTAATTCTGAGAAACCATTCACACTTTTTTTTTTTTTTTTTATGCAGCAGAAAATTATTTACAATAGCAATAACCTCCCATTCAAGTTCCTTTACACTAAGGAGTCACAGACCATAAGAACACTGAAAATGCTGCTGTTGGTCTGTCTCCTGAAAGCCGACCAGTGCTTTGTTGCTCAATGTTGTTAAACGGTAACAAAATCTACTAGACCATGCTCACCAGTGTGTATAATTCACCAAAGAAATCCCAACTTACCTCTTACCAAGGCCTTGAATGGAAGCTCTCACAGATGTGTTACCTGAAGATTTAGATTTTAATTTCTGTTAAAAATACAAAACAATAAAAGGCCAAGGGTAACTTAGAGAATTGTAAAATGAAAACTAATATCCTTTATTTTATAACAAGAATATTTTAAAAATGGCTTACAATTGCCTATGATTTTAAAGTTTCTGAAATGAAAACAATGATCAAAACCCTTTAAAGGCAAAAGGGAAGTAGACCTCCCTGAGGAATTTACAAATTACTATGCTAACGTTTAGTCTAGAAAACTGATATACTGCCATTATTAGCACGCTAAGATTTAGAGTCACTTTATAACTCTCCAGTTAATACTAGAGTTCGATGATTTAATATGAAGGAGCTGCTATTTAAAACTTCATCCTGGAAAAATTCAATTGAGGAGTAAAAAAACCTCAGACTCATTTTAAAGGCTGTGAATGGTACTCACCTGAACTAAAAATAAACTAACCAAACTCCTGGGTAACTTCAGGAATATTAATTTTGATCAAATGGAATGGTATCAACCATTAGATGTTCAAGGAAAATGTAGAGCTACCTAGTCACAACCACACAGTAGTTCCTATACGGTTACATAACATCATCATTAGCAAGCATTTATTAAGTGTTAACTGGTATAAGGTACCAAACAACATGGCCGACCACTTACCAGGACCACCGCCAAGGAAAGGAAGTAGGATGGAGAAAAGGCAATTTAAACTATGCAGAGACATGCCATCATTTTACCTAGCAGGTGAGGAAATTTAATGGAGGCAAAAATACTTTACTATTTCTCTTAACCCTTTTATTTGTTGAATACAACTGATGTTAAACAGAACTGGAAACATTTTCGGTGCATAGCTGAAAAGTAATAATGTGCCTAAGTCTCTTTTTGTCTTTGGGAGCACGCTCCATGTGCCATCCAGGCTTGTGTTTACAACTCAAAGCTGGCACACTGGGACATCTGCTGTTGTTTCTGGGCTTTCTTGTGTGAGTCTGAGAGTGGTTAACGAACAAAACAACCTGCAACTGATATAATATTGTAAATCAACTATACTTCAATTAAGAAAAAAAAGAAACACAACAGAATGCGCGAGCAATGGACTAGGGACCAATACTCTCAAGAGCATGATCTGGCCTCTGAGGACAAGGTGGGCATAGGGACTGGCAATTCACAGACACTTCTTTTCCTCATCCAATCAGTGTTTTACATTGATCTGCTTTCCTCCAGAAGTTTACTTGGGTTGCTTTCTCCCCTGCAGGCTGGAAAACTGGATATAATAACTAACTTCAAAAAGGGAGCATACAGAAGAAGGGCATAAAAGCTTATTTCTTCATGATTATAAGAGCTAATTTTGTTTCAAATTAGTATATCTTCTCTAATATTTCTTTAGAGAAGTATTTCCTTCTCTTTCTGAAATGCCTTGAACTGAAGAGGCAGTGCCTCACACACAGATACATACCCTGTAGTGCTTAATAAATAATGAATTGCTCAGATGATCAATGAATAACATCATGTAGTTTTTTTCCTACCACTAATTAAATTAGTATTGCTATTCAGCATTTATGATTCATTCTGTTCGCAGAATGCTATTGTGTTGACGTGTTATTCATGTTGACATGTTATTCAACTAGGCCATCAGCTTATTAATTTACCACAGCTTATTAATTTACCACAGATGAACTGAAAATGTTAAATTTAGAGAAATTAAGATTTTTCAAACTTGGTTTTATTTTTATTCTTTTTTTTCCCTAATTGAAGTATAATTGACCTACAACACTATGTTAGTGTCAGGTGTAAAACATACTGATTTGGTATTTCTATACATTACAAAATGATCACCACAGAAAGTCTAGTCACCGTACAGAGCTATTACAGTATTATTGACTATATCCCTCATGCTGTACATTTCATCTCTGTGACTCACGTATTTTGTAACTGGAAGTTTGTACATCCCTCATGTATTTCACTCATCTCTCCCACTCCTCTCCCCTCTGGCACAGAGAAATACAAAGCCTAAGATCTATACCAGTCACTTGAATTTTAGTCTCTGACAAAAAAAGAAGTGGCCCATATCCATAATCTTAACACAATCATTGCCTAGTTATTTTTAGTCCTCTGTCTTGCTCTAATCTTCCCTACCTTAAAAACAAACAAACCGGGCTTCCCTGGTGGCGCAGTGGTTGAGAGTCCGCCTGCCGATGCAGGGGACACGGGTTCGTGCCCCGGTCTGGGAGGATCCCACATGCTGCAGAGAGGCCCACGCACCACAAACAAACAAACAAAAAAACAAAAACAACCCTCTTTGGTATTATATTTATTTCTTAGATTTTTTTCCTTGTGGTCCTTGTAATTTGGACTTCCATTTGGTCTCTTTCTAACAAATATATATATATATATATATACACACACACACACACATATATATATGTATATATGTATATATATATGTATATAAATAAATCTATAAATCTAACAAATATATTCTGTGCCTACCAAACTGGTAAAAATGAAAGTATATACATTCTCATCACTGCTGGTGAGAAGAATACAAATAAGACAGTCACTTTGGGAAACATTTTGGCAATGGCTAGAGAAGTTGAAGATGAGCACACCTTGTGACTTCCTAGGTTTATATATCCTAGAGAAACTCCTATACATGGGTTAAAAAAAAAAGACACACAAAGATATTTGATGAAGCACTGTTTGTAAGAGCAGCAACTTGGCATAATCAAAATGTCTAATCACCAGGGATGTAGATAAACTGTGGTGGAGTTACGTAAGGGACTGCTATACATTAGTTAAAATTGTTTATGGTTACATACACATGTAATAAAAGTATAAAAGTATGGATGGAAAGGCTAATGGTTACCTTTGGGAAGGAAGGCAGTAGAGTAAGATTTGGAGAGTTCTTAAACTATAATTTTTATTTCTTTAAAAAAAAGTCCAGGGAGTTCCCTGGTGATCCAGTGGTTGGGACTCAGCGCTTTCACTGCTGTGCCCTGGGTTCAATGCCTGGTGAGGAAACTAAAATCCCACAAATTACATGGTGTGGCCAAAAAAAAAAACACGGGTTCTGCCCCGGTCTGGGAGGATCCCACATGCTGCAGAGAGGCCCACGCACCACAAACAAACAAACAAAAAAACAAAAACAACCCTCTTTGGTATTATATTTATTTCTTAGATTTTTTTCCTTGTGGTCCTTGTAATTTGGACTTCCATTTGGTCTCTTTCTAACAAATATATATATATATATATATACACACACACACACACATATATATATGTATATATGTATATATATATGTATATAAATAAATCTATAAATCTAACAAATATATTCTGTGCCTACCAAACTGGTAAAAATGAAAGTATATACATTCTCATCACTGCTGGTGAGAAGAATACAAATAAGACAGTCACTTTGGGAAACATTTTGGCAATGGCTAGAGAAGTTGAAGATGAGCACACCTTGTGACTTCCTAGGTTTATATATCCTAGAGAAACTCCTATACATGGGTTAAAAAAAAAAGACACACAAAGATATTTGATGAAGCACTGTTTGTAAGAGCAGCAACTTGGCATAATCAAAATGTCTAATCACCAGGGATGTAGATAAACTGTGGTGGAGTTACGTAAGGGACTGCTATACATTAGTTAAAATTGTTTATGGTTACATACACATGTAATAAAAGTATAAAAGTATGGATGGAAAGGCTAATGGTTACCTTTGGGAAGGAAGGCAGTAGAGTAAGATTTGGAGAGTTCTTAAACTATAATTTTTATTTCTTTAAAAAAAAGTCCAGGGAGTTCCCTGGTGATCCAGTGGTTGGGACTCAGCGCTTTCACTGCTGTGCCCTGGGTTCAATGCCTGGTGAGGAAACTAAAATCCCACAAATTACATGGTGTGGCCAAAAAAAAAAAAAAATCCAGAGGAGCAAATCTGACAAAATGTTAAGATACGTTCAGTATGACTAGTAAATAGATAGGTGGCTGTTATATTATTTTATGCGCTTTTATAAAGTTGATATAGATATATAAGCATTTAAAAAAATAAAATACTACCAACTTAACTGATTAGTTCATGGGATGAGAGCAACGGCAAAGCATTTGAGATGCTAAGCACATTCCTATAATGAAAGCTGATTTTGGTCTTTTAGGAAAGTATTCTTAGAGTTTACAAATAAATACAAGTAACCAACTTCATCTGCAAGTTGACTTTTGTTCAACAGCTTTTCTAATTTCTCATTCTTGCTGAGAAACAAAAAGCAAAACACAGTTTCTAATTTTTTTCTTATTTAAATCTAAGTGGGATAATTTCTTTAAATAATTGTATTTCTCAGAATTCTAAGGACTATAGATACTTGTGTATTCTAATAAGTTTTCAGACTATTCTAAACATGTCTTGAGATAATGAAAGAATTACTATACATTTAGAACATTTGACTTACAAAGTGTTTTTTGTCAAAGTTGGGCTCTTCAAATATTTCGTTAATAAGACTGTCAAGATCATGTTCTTTTTTAAATGTTTCTGTTGATCTGAAAAAACAAACAACAAACAAACAAGAAAACAGCTGAAGCTTAAGCGCAGATAAAGTCGGGTAGCATCAGAAGAGTCTTGTTTAAATAAAGTCCATTACTAGAGTTGATAACAGAAGGACAAATGTGATGTTCTTTTTTTCCTACTATGGACATAGCCTAGGTTTCTTGAGAAAAAGGATGTAGTTCATCGGGTACAAATTCCCATGTGTACTTTTACATACTTAAAATATAACGTTTAAAGCTGTACGTTATATATAAGAGAAAGATGGGTATGCACTTTTCTAAATTACATCAACCATTTATTTAAGAATACAAAATATGTACAATTATAAGTAGAACCTGATAATTATAAACAAAGATAATTTTAATATGTCTAATTTTCCCCTAAGGGTTCCACTGTAAGTCAAATAATCATACCTCTTTACTACAGGAGCCAAAGGTTATATAACCAAATGATTAATTACACACATACACACAAAAGTGATAATTTGCTTGACAGAGTATCTCAACTACCTCTTTACCTTCTGTGGGTAAAGCCATCACAGGATTACTGACAAACTGTTACTGCATGGGACTCCTATTTAATAGCTAACATTTACTGAATACTTTACATAGATGAAGATATAGGGACTGAGAGATTCAAAAACTCACCAAGGTCATATAAATAGTGGGAGGAGAGGCTTGGAATTGAGTCTAGGGCAGTCTAGACACCTAACACTAAATGAGATTAACTCTCTTTAGAGTTTACGTTACAGATGCTGTATATCATTATAACTTTATAACTTCGTTGGATCATTAAGTTATTTGTTTTAAAAGACAGGTTTTTTAGACTAACTCTCTATTTCTAGAAACATATTTGCTCCGAAATTGTTAACATCAGGATTAAGAAAATGCAGAGGCTACTGCCTAACACTGAATGTCTGATTCCATCTATGTCCAGACTTTGCCTCTTCAGTTTTTCCCTTTCTAACTTTTACCCTTAATATCTTCCACTGTATACTGGTTTCTTCCCAAGCATGCTAAGTATGCTTTCCTCTTCAAAGAAACATTCCAAAACCCCTCTTGAAGCTGTCACCCTATTTTACTCACTACTGAAGAGTAGTCTATATCCATTATTTCTACTTCCTTACAAGTATATTGGATTTAACATCTGCTGGTGATCTGGATAAGGGTTTCTTAACCTTAGAAATACTGACATTTGGGACCAGATAATTCGTTGGTGTGTGTGTGTGTGTGTGTGTGTATCACAGTGAGAGGGGCAGGCTATTGTGCACTGTAGGATGTTTTACAGCATCCCTGCTTCTACCCACTAGATGCCAGTAGCACACCCTTCCCCGGTTATGACAATCAAAAATGTCAAGACGTTGCCAAATGCCCCTTGAGTGGTAAAGTCATCACCTGTTGAGAACTACCCACCTAGTTTAAATTATTTAACCTCTCTGAACCTCAGACATTTTATATGTATAAAGGAAATCTAGACAACTATTTAAAACTTCTCCAGGTGTAATATTCCATCTCTGGCCTTTATATCCCTCAACTATAGTGAAACTCTTTTTCAAAGTCACTACTGCCCAAATCACTATATTCAATGGCCTTTCTCAGTTCCAATTCTCTTTAATCTTTCCGAAGCACCTGACACTTGTGTACCAATTCCTTCAATTTCTTTTGTGACAGCAGGTTGCTAAGATGTCCTCTAGAAATTCTCTCCTCTGGTTTTCATGATGTACTCTCTGGGTTCCCCTCTCTCATGCAATTTCACAATTTCAAGAATCAGATGCATTCAAACTTTACCAGTCTACTCAGTACTGTTAGGGATCCAAACTATCAGCTTCCATAAGATTCTGGTCTGTTATTAGATCACACAATTTCATGATGCCTACACTTGCCTATGCTTTGCTACAGAAATGGGGAAAAAATGCCATCATTTCATTGAGAAAGCATATAAATTTTTTTTTAAGCATATACATTTTCAACGACAGTATACTTTTTGCCTTTTGATGCTGTAATACAATAATCGTAATCAAAGGTTAATAAACATTTATTGGTTCCCTACTTTGCTTACTATATTGAATCTTGATTTAAGATATAGTTTCTGTCAAAAATAAAATATATATTCTAAATAAAATAAATGTAAACACTTGAAACCCACAATTAAATGTGAAAGGTATACATAAAAGCTTAAATCTGGATGTACAATGTCCTGGTAGACTTGGAAATATGAACTTGGGCAAGCAACTATTCTTCTAGGTTTTGGTCAGTGAAATGAGCATAATAATAGTATTCACCATATAGGGATGCGGAGATTAAATGAAATAACATAAAAGGCATATAAAAAGGACTCAGTAAGTATTGGCTATTATTATAGATATCACCTATGAGGTTATATTATCTCTAAATATTCCCATCTGTATCATCCTGAACCACTTTATTCTTATCGCAGTTCAACTCACATCAGTCTTTAAAAAAAAAACTAATCACATATTTTTCTCTTTATCATTTTGAACGCTTCATCAAGTTGTATATGTTCTGACCATTTATATTAGCAGTAGTTCCTGGTATCCAGATGTGTCATGGTCATTCATTATCTGCAGAGCTATCATTTTTAAGGGACAATTTCAGTATTTTAACTCTTTTAAGAAAAAGAGATACAGGCTATATCACTACACAATTGGCAGGGAGTCTCCTATTAATAAATTCATAATGTAAATCAGTTCCTAACTTTTAGGTATCAATTATGGCTCAGGACAAAATTTTAATATTTGACATTACATATTACATTTGTTATTAAGTTTAGGGTCTTCGTTGCTGGTTTTTTTTTTTTTGCATAATGTACCTTTACAACTACACTGCCAAATGAAGTGAATGACAACACCTGAATTCAACACATGAATGACAACAGTACTGGTTTGTTACAGCTTCTATAAATGTATTATTGAAAAATCTGAGGTAGTAAGGTGGGATGGGATGCTACGAGGATTATGGATGGATTTTAGTAGTAAAACAACAGGCTACGGAGAGAGGTACCAAAGGACCTGTGCTTGGAGAGGATCCGTCCACCTTAGTTACCCTTTCCATTTTCAGCAGCCTGCTCCAAGACATCCTATCCCTCTGTGCTAGTTCTCCTAAGATGAATAGGCTCTGGAAGGCTCTCTGATAAATTTTCTCCATGCCCCAAAGGAGTAAATAAAAAGAACAAAAGAACTTGCAAGGTAACATTGTTGTAGGATAGGAATGGTAGATGTGCTGGGAATGAGTACATAAGAATGCCCAGCATTCAAGATAATAATATACAAATTAGTGAGAGTGATATTTGCATAAACAGTCAAATAAGCGTTAGCCCATTCAAAGCAGTCATCTCTTTTGGCCGAGTCCCCACTAGGGATGAACCCTTGCCCCCTGCATTGGGAGCTCGGAGTCTTAACCACCAAACCGCCAGGGAAGTCCCCAAAGCAGTCATTTTAGTTGGCTCTACAGTTATTTTTTAGAACGCTGCCAAGTACTCGACTAATTTTTAGAACTTCTGTGTCTAATTTTAGACTCTTTTCAATGTTTTTATCTTCTGAGGGTGAATTTTTATAAACAAATGTCATTAGAGGTAAGTCTTGTAAATTGGGTAGCAATGGTGTTGGGTTCTGGGACATCACACACAGGTGCGCAAAAACAAAACAAAACCAACAGATGCAGCCATAAATAAACAAGATTGACTTTCTTGGGTTGTTCCAAAGCTGCCTCTGTGTAATTCCACAAGCGTCTCCAAGAGATTCAAGCAAGAGTCACTGCAGAGGCTCCCAAGCTATCACTTTGAAGGACAATACTCACTCTGGCAAAAATTTTGTTTTTTTGGAATTGAGGGGGGGAAGTGAGATAAAGAAGAAAGTCCTATTATTGAATAATTACACAGAAGAAAAATGACTGACAAATTTGAAAGATACTTTTTCTGGATCAAAAGCCAAGACTTAAGAAAATTCCCCAAATTTCAACTTGGATGACTGAGATCATCTGGTACCCTTAGCTGGGGCCATGGGGAGAAGGAAGGTGGCTGGATTAATAAAGACAGTGTTACCAATAATTAAACCTTTTAATCTTAAATCTAATCTCATTCAATTATCTGAGCTTAAAAAGAAAAATCAACTTATGATGGAATTGAATGGAATCGTTTTCTCCAACAATTGGCCCAAGAATTGTTCTGCCTTGGGAATGGGGTCCAAAGAGGACCAGAGGCAATAGGATGAGGTTCTCTGTGCGGGCATCTCAAAAGCGGAAAAGAATCGCTCACGCAAACGGAGGCCCGGGTCACTGTGACCCCCTCGGGGCTCAAGAGAGAGAGCCTAAGCTGCACCCCCTCTCCCCGCATCGGAACCCGAGCGAAGACGCGGGCTCTCAAAGGCGGGGCATCAGCGGGGCCAGGCCTCTGGGGCTTGCACGGGGGCGGAGTCGGGCCTTGGGAAGAGATGTTAGGATCCTCCAGGCCGGGGAGTTGAAGTGTGTGCGGCCCTGGGAGTGGGGAATTGAGAGTCTGGGCCCTAGCAGGGAGAGGAGCTGGAGGTCGCGGGCGGGGGTACGTTTCTTTGGGTCCGGCGGCGGAGGGGTGGCTTTAGGACCTGAAGCAGGCTTCACCAGAACAGCCCACCCCTCCCGCCTGTTAACCTGGGATTCTCTTTCGCCTCGGCTCGGTTCCGGTCGTTGCTGAGGATGCCACTGCCACCGCCTCCGCCTCTGGGCCGTTCGACCATACCCAGTCTCAGTGGGTCTGGTCTGCAAAACTTGGACTCGACCTCATCCAAGAGCTCGTCCAGGTCCTCCGCCATCTTGAATCGTCAAATCCTTCCCTTGCTCTGGTAGCTACAGCACCGTGTGGTTTCCAGGGGCAACGCGAGGATCCGCAGGGCGCGCTGGCCGCCCCCGCGCATGCGCGAGCCGTTCCGAGGCTGTCCTAGGCGCTCGCGATGCCTGGGAGCTGACGCGCTCTCGCGGAAGGATGCAGTGGGGTAGCGAGGCTCCGGGGCACAGGCTTTCCCGCGCGGCGAGACGTCTGTCGGAACTGTCCCTGCCTGCGCTACTTCGCGACGCTTTGCTTTTCTTTGTTCCAGGGTGTCTGGCGTGTTTTGTCCCATCTCCCTCTTCTGGACTCAAGTTGTAACCACAATCACACGACTGCCTAGCTCCCTCATCCGCTCTTCATCTTGCCCCATTGGGGCCCCAGTTGTATTCCAGCAGTTCATAAATTCTTTAAATAATCTGCGGAGAAGCCTGCAAAAGGGAAACAAGGATTTGTACCAAAAGGCTGGTTGGTCGTAGTCGGCAGGATTCGAACCTGCGCGGGGAGACCCCAATGGATTTCTAGTCCATCGCCTTAACCACTCGGCCACGACTACTGTTGACGTTGCTCTTCGCAATGAGATCTATGTAGTCTGCACACAAGTTTCTACTCCAGTAACAGGTATGTTTAGATCGTGAGGAAAACATTGCAAAGCTGTTCTGCCAGATAAGAGCATATTTGAATGTTATGGCTTTAATAATTTTAACTTCTTGAAGGGCTCTTAGAGCATATCTCGTCCAGCCTTTTACTCCCCATCAGAAAAAACTGAATTTTAGTAAAATCGCTAAAGTCAGCGTCAGAAAACAAGAGGTAAGGAAGAAAGCCTGGTGCTGCTGTACACCTGCTTGCAGAGGTGTGCATTTCCAGGAGGGAACCGGCAACCTTGGGGCCACCGACCAGCCTCCGGGCTTCCTTGCCGGGCTCCCAGCTCCACCCCTGCCCCTCTCTCTTGGACAAACAGCTCCCAAGGACTCTTTTTACCCACTAGGCACTAAAATGCTGTTGCCCACTGATTTAAATTCACTCTGCAGGGCCAGACTGTCCCACAGTGCCGTAAAAACACTACTTTGAAAAAGTGTGATGCGTGATAAAATGCAAGGTATTGTCATTTCATGGTACTGCTGTAAATACTGTGCATACCGAAACCTGAACTTTGAGTATTTCTAACGTGGGATAGCAAAGAGGTTGGCAGCCTTGGAAACTCTGGAGCTATTTTAATCGAGTTGAATTAGTAGCTTCATTTATTTGGTTTGTTGTTTGTTCAGAATATCTTTAATGTCCCTGAAGAGCAGCATGAAGTGGTGTGATGGAGCAAGTGTAGAGCCTACCTTTAAATATTCGACTTTTGGGAGCCAGCTGTTAAATGCGACCATTACTAAAAAATTAAATTAAATATATTAAAAAACAAAAGCAATACTCAAAATTCACTACGGTCTAGTTATTTCCCTAC